GCGCAGCCCGACGATGTTCGAGTGCATCAATCCTCATTGATGTCAAAATTGAGACTGCAGTCATGTCCTCGCCCATGGGAGAGAAGATAACAAACTTGGTGGGAAGCTCGCAGAGCACCTGAGCCAGCTCGAGCGGATGTCTGGACAAGTCTGTGTCACAGACAGTATCACGGGGCAGAATAAGTCTCGCATGGAAAGCAGTGGGTTCGATATACGGAACTGGATAGTTTATTTGCACCATAGGACGTTGTTGAGTCGTCGTCGCGACATCGAAGCCCATTCTCGCATTGTCTACGGCGCTTTCGAGGTATTCTTCGCTGCCTTTGGTATCGTCTACCTTGCAGGCGGATGAGCCCTGCTCATTTGCATTGAAGGAGCCCAGGTTCTCCTTATCCTCATTAGATCTAGGACCGGGACATGGCCCGCTTTGGTGCTTGTTCCAGTTGCCCCAAGCATAATAAGTCCTATTATCCAAACTAATCGCTTGGCCGCAATGACAAATGATTCTGTGTGGACCGAACGCAATCATCTTCGACCCCTCGTTCAAGAACCTGATCAAACGCTCAACCTCTCCGGGTTGGTGATTCGGCTTCAAGGGGAAGTAACCCCTCAGAGCTATTTCTCGGATGGCCTTCTCTTTCTCCGCATCAGTCAACGCTGGGTTGGAGAGAATGATGAAAGACGTCGATCGGTGAACAGTGGTATCTATCGACGATTTTGGCCCTGGTTTTTTTACTTGTACTTGAGAGAGTGGAGGGAGTCGAATGGTTAGCCCACTGACGACATCGGCCATGGCTGATCAGTGATAGGGGGTTAAAAGATCAGGAGAGGAGATGTGAATGGCAACAATGATACGGGATTGTGCAAGGCAGACGTTGAAGATGCCTATATACTCTCACTAACCCCCTTTCAGATCCAGCCACAGCGATATTGCTATTGACGGTTTTTGGACTGAGCATTTTGACCACAGTAAATGGCCATAACCCGAAAAGGTTCTGTGGAAGTCCATTGTCTTCTTACGCAGCTGTCCAAGCATAGCGCTGATGTGGCCCGTTCGTTCTGGTCGATGCAGTGCACTTGATTGGACTTCCGGTATTCTGTTGTTACAGGTTGTTACCGGGCAGTTTGCTTGGTCAAAGTTGAACGGAAATGTCCACGTTGGGAGCATTTGATCATACCGCACTGGGCCGCTAAAAGCGCAGCTATTGTAAGTTTTACCTTTTGCCTTGGTTTCTCTTGGACTGGAAAAGAACAGCAAATAGGTTAGATACCTGTAGTAGATACGATACCCACTTTTCTTCGTTGCAGCAAAGAGCTAATAACGACGAGCCCATTGACTATTGCTTTAGTTGAGTATCAAAATGTCCACTGGATCTTGACGTTATAGAATTCAGAGAAGATGAAGATCGAAAGACCATATACATTTGTGTTCGGTCAACAAAAGTTAAGTTCTGGTCAAAGCTGTCTATATTAAATAAATCTCATGACTAATACGCTGACACGTCATTCTACAATTCTACATTGACTGATGTCCTTGGCTCTCGACGCGCTCATCGTCCTTGTAGGATGCACTCATGTCTTGCTAGCTCCTTACAACAAAGTAGAAGAAAGTTTCAATCTTCACGCCGTGCATGATGTGCTCATGCATGGGATAACAAAATTGGATCAAGTACGTGCATCTCATCCCTTTGTTACTGTGATTTTCAATTTTCTGCTATCAGTACGATCATTTCACCTTCCCCGGAGCAGTGCCCAGGACTTTCATAGGAAGTGTTCTGCTGGCTTGGGTGTCGTATCCAGCAATCCTGTCAGCGAATTCGCTCGGATTCGTTACAAGTAAATTCGGCTTGCAAATTATCGGTTTGTAAACTCAGTCAGGTTCGGTGTAAATGATTTTTATAGTTCTTTACTGGTTCTTTATACAGTTCGTCTGATCTTATCAACACTCAACGCATTAGGCCTATGCTATCTTCGGCACGCCGTTTCTCGTCGCTTTGGGCGTCCGACTGGGTTCTACTTCACTTTCATCACTATATCACAATTTCATATGCCTTTCTGGATGGGTCGCACGCTTCCGAACATGTTTGCTCTATTCCCAGTCAATATTGCCTCTGCCCTTCTCCTCTCGCGCCCTCCTAATTCTCAAAAACCTTCGCCAACGAATGTGTACACCGCAATAGCACTATTAACGTCGACTGCCGTCATATTTCGTGCCGAGCTGGTGCTGTTGTTGGGTCCTCTCGTTCTGCAATGTCTGATCCTGAAATACGTGCCATTCAGTGGGGTTGTCAAGTTAGGAATGATCGTTGGACTCCTTTCAACTGGTGAGTTTTAATCCATGTCCACCAAGTACTCCAGTAATCCAATCCAGCTTGTAGCCGCAACCATGGCCGTCGACTCATACTTCTGGAAGACGGCCTCCTTCCCGGAGCTATCGGGAGTTTATTTCAACGTACTCCAAGGGAAGAGCTCTGAATGGGGTGTATGTTCCACATACAAATCTTCTCGACATCTTCATTCGTTTACCTTTTTTACTTCAGATTTCACCGTTCTGGACGTACTTTTACCCGATGTTACCCAAATCTCTTCTCGGCGCATTACCTTTGGCGTGCTTGGGGTATGTCATGGATTCCCGCATCAGAGAGGCACTTCTACCGCATATTGTATTCGTTGGCCTCATGAGTTTTTTGGGACACAAGGAGTGGCGATTTATTGCTTATGTTGTTCCGGTGTTCAATATCGCTGCAGCAAGGGCGAGCAGATGGATGTGCGTTGTTCATTCATTACTTCAACCTGTGCTTTCCTCATCTATCACCGGAACTCAGGGTCTCCCAAAGAAAATCGACGACACTCGGACAGTGGTGCTTGTTCGGATTTTGGTTCATGATTTGTGTCAACGCGGTTATAACGGCGGTATTCACGATGGCGTCGATAACGAACTACCCTGGTGGAATGGCTTTGAGGCAATTTAACAAAGCATTTCCTCCCCTCGGGCCACACGCGAAAGGTACCCTTCGTTCTGTTCCACGGATTTTTTTTCGCTTACTCCAAAGCGTGTTCTTAATACAGCTTACCACGTACATATCTCCAATCTGGCGGCTCAAACTGGGGCTTCCTTATTCCTCCAAGAACACTCCCCTCCGTTCCTTTCTTTCTCATCGCAAAATCAAATCCCAACGTATCCATGGACTGTGTACGACAAAACCGAAAACCTGACTCTTGAGGAGCTCTCTGGATCGCTAAATATAACTCATCTCATTGCGGAATGGAGTCCTGTAGAAATGAAAAGCCGGATGAGGATTTGGCGGGTAGTCGACGTAGATGTGAACGGGGACCCCCACAACACCAATCCCACTAGTGTGTCAGGAATCGTGAAACCAGGAATAATCGCGTCCCGTTTCTTGACAGCCAATTGGGACGTGGTCAGGACTGCTAGCAAGTTTAGGTTCAAAGAAGCGTGGAAGTTGATCGGTGAAAGTGGGTGGAGGAGTTTGGTATGGATGCAAGAAGAACCGAGGTTATGGATTTACGGACGACGGTAGGCAGTGATGCAGAATGAAAAATTGTGTGCCAGTTGTCTTCGGTGAAATTCTAGCAGAGTGATTCTGCCAGATGAACGTACTTTCCCTAAGATGGACTCGTAGTTTCGAAGCTTCATAAAAATTGACAACAGGAAATCCACGTCTTGGAAAAGCTCAGCTGGATGGCTTAGTATCGACTGCTAAGGAGAACGGCTGTGAAATTCGCTGGGACGAAGGGGAAATGTCAGGTGCATGGTATGTGTTACGAACATATATCTTGGTAGCCTCATCGCTAACGTATGCGTAAAGACAATGTGGTCAAACTCCGGCGTAGATCCGTTGGACCTTGATAATAAATTGAGTACGTCTTCTAGATTATCAACCTAAGGTTATAAAATGTGCACAACCTGACTAATTTCCTCCAATCCACTTGAATCCACAGAATGTCTCGCAACCCCAACAGCCTCACTAACACCTACCATCGTGATACATACCCCGCCATCTCCCCTACCAAGCCTTCTCTTAGCCAGGCTGGCAGGACAATCCTCATCACAGGAGGTGGTAGCGGAATAGGTTTCGCAATCGCACGTTCTTTCGCCCAAGCTTCCGCTTCTCGAATTATTATCGTGGGGCGCAGAGTCTCCGTCTTGGAAGAAGCAGCTTCAAAGCTGCGGGAGGAGTTCAAAGATTCTAACTCTACGACTGAAATCATCATTCGCCAGGGAGACATTGGAGACGACTCATCTATCTCCGCACTTTGGGATTACTTAACCTCACAAAACATCTTCGTACGCGTTTTGGTGCTCAATGCTGCCCATGTAACACCTTGGGGGTCAGATACGTTGAAGATGGATAAACGGGACCTCATGGAAGCGTTCGACGTTAACATCGGTGGTAATTTCCTTATGACGGTGAAATTTGTGAATCAGCCCCTCCGTCCTCGGGGTGAACAGCTCAACCTAATTAACCTCTCGACGGCGAATATTCATATGTATCCTTTGCCGAATCAGACTCCGTATGCGACGTCGAAATCGGGCTTTACTACACTGATAGGAAGGATTGCGGATGAACACCCTGTGGAGGAATTACAGATTATTTCGTACAATCCGGGGACACATTATTCGGAAAGCGCAGCCAAGTATTTCGAGAAGGGCCATTACAAATGGGATGAAAGTAAGCAAAGCGTCCTTCTACTCGCTGACCGTGCTGATAATCCATTACATAGTGGCATTGCCAGGAAACTTTGCCGTCTGGGCAGCGTCTCCAGAGGCGTCTTGGCTACACGGCCGTTTTGTCTGGGCACATTGGGATGTGGATGAATTAAGAGCTGATAAGGAGTTCATGAAACGGTTGGATCGGGAGAGAGGTTTCCTCAAAGTAGCGGTCCAAGGATTGGAAGAGGTCGATTTTCAGGCGCTATGGGATAATTAGAAACGCGCTGCTGTCATTTATGAAATGTTGTGAACGCGTTCACGCCAGGGGCACATAGCGTAGGGGTTATCGCGCTCGCTTTGCATGTTTGCTGGGTGCGAGAGGTCTCCGGTTCAAATCCGGATGTGTCCACATCCAAACTGATTGACTGACCAGTCCTATTTTTCTTCCCGTTTTTGGTTTAGCCTCTACCCAAGCGCTTTTTGCTTCTTTATATGCTGAATGTTTTGCGTACGAGCTCTTTCCCCAATCTCCAAGTGTTTTAGAATTGCCGTATTTTTCGAGGGTTACAGTCGTTTCGAAATTCTTGTTTCATGATGGGGCAAAGGGGTTACGAGGGAACTAGGTGCAACTCCAGTGCGCGTATGTCCGGTCCGCCACCCGGACCTTTTCTAATTATGTACTTCCTCGACGCTCCATTATCTTCCTGAAAACACGGCTAACCGGTTGAATGATAGTTCTACCCCTCGAATCCCCGAAAGTCCGCCGATATAGAAGCAATTCCTCAATTACAGTTTGGATATCATCGCCCCGCACTGGGCACATGCTGACGACTTGTAGCGTTGGTCGTGGCCATCTCGCTTTACTTCCTACATAGATCCAGAATTTATGGAGGTATACGCATAAGTATAGTCGACCATTATCAGCAAATACTACCAAAAAATGAGAGAACTTGGCAGAGTTCTCGAGCTCCTCGTACAAGCCTGTCCTCTTGTTCCGGGGTTCTACAAAAGTATCGCCTTAGGATCAGCGCTCAGCTCTAAAGTAACCGGTATATTTACGTGTTGTCGATCTTCGTCATTGATGTTTATCCAATTCATATTATTCAATTGCTAATCTCCGTGTTCGTCGTTCTCGAGTAAATATAAAAGGATAGCTCGTAAGTTATATCGCGCACCACATTCTTCAATGGGCGTTTTAGTTGCTAACCTCGAGCAAATCGTACCCAACAAGGGTGAAGTTCAAGAATCAATTTCTCCGCAAATAGTTGTAGTCAATCCTCGTAAGTTCTATATCTTCTTCGTCTCATGCTTTGAGCCTGATCTACTTGACTGTAGTGTCTGTTGCCCGACAAAGCTCTGCGGATATATTAGAGCGAGTAGGCGACCTTGTCCAGGCCGACTCTTCTAGTAAGTCCCTGTAGCTGCCCTGCATCCTCTGGACGTGTCTCGCTCATTTAATCATGAATGGCCCACAATCAGGATCTAACACGGAAAAGGCAAAACACACAAGAAGGATACTGGAGTACTTACATGACGGTCTTCAATATGCAGAAGTAATTGCACAGGCCAATGATATAGCGCAGGTCAGAGATACGACCTTCGGTCATCCTTTGCCAGAGATTGACAGCGAAACATTATGAGCACAGGGAGTGGTGTCGATACTGCAGGTTAGTTTAAAGAGCGCAAAGAGTAACCATCGAGACGATGTATTCATTGTGCAAAATAGGCAATTCTCGAGCAGGAGCTTAATCGAAGGCAGAACAATGAGCAAATCACAATTGTCTATTATACCCTTGTACGCGTTGTTGCTTTCTTTCCGAATTTTATCTGATTTTGTATTAGTCTTCTACTGTGCTCACCATTCGCCATATCGAGGAACACCATATCAATGAGCAAATTAGAAATGAACTCAAGAATAAATACGAAAAAGTCTATGATTTGGTCAATGAATTTGGTAAGGATGTTATGGTGTCGATCTTTGTATGTATTCCCAATCTGATTCCTATGATTTTAGGTGGTGTCGCAAAGTAAGTGGAAAATTAGATCATATATATTATATGGTGCCACTCACATCAGAGACCAGTGCTTACTATACAACATATAAGCGGATGTTTGGTGAGTTCTACTAGCCCTAGAAGCTCTCATTCATAAGGGAAATTGGCCTTTTCTAGTGAGGTTTCTGAAGGCCGGAGAATTGAAACCGAAACTGGAGGCATTTATACAAAACTGCAGAACTTATCAGGAGGATATCTTGTACCTTCTCCAGATACATATTGCCTCAACCGTTGAAAGCACTGGGGAGGCCGTAGCGGACTTGAGCAAGAACATGGATACTGCTTTGAAAATACTTAATCAGCTTGGTGCAGCAGATACCCGGAAAGAACTCGAAGCACAGAGATTTCTCATTGATCGCAACATGGATTCACAATCAATCATTCAGGTAAATTATTACTTGATACAATTTTTGCAAAAATTAATCAATGCAGGATGAGAAAACCCTTGTAGAGTTTGCAGCAATTTTTAGTGAACAGGTCACCAAAGAAACCAAGGACATTCTACACAAGGACATCGAAGACATACTCCAGGAATCAATGTTAGTCATTATTAGTTCATGAAAGTTATATATCTACTCTAATGGACTTGCGATAGGAATAATTTCAACTCAAAGATAGATCAAGTAAAGAAAGATATCAACATCAACGTACAAAGCTCTCAAGCGGAAATTTTAGCCAAGGTTGATTAATCCAATTCCCAAGAGTAAACACTTGCTCAATGTTTTTTTTTCTTAGTTAAATGCCGGGCCTCATAATCTTATTGAGGATACTGAGTTCAGAACACTTTGGTTTGGTAAGCTCTCACTTTACTGCATCATTATATTGAAGGCCGAAATTTTGGCTTTGGCAGACCATGTGGGTGTAGTAGTTCACAATAGAAAAAGTGCTCAATATTTATCCTTAGGGTTGGAAAGCAAGCATCAAGAGCCGCATCTTTGTTGATGGTGCGGAACTTGGCCATACATCCTAATTACTTTTGACATATCAATTCATACTCAGAAATCTGCTCCTCGCTCAGAAATGAGTTTGAAAAGTATTCAATCCTAAACGGTCACACACGAGATGATAATTGGACACTTCCGATTTTATCCCAAGTGATGGGTATGCACTGCTCACATTGAACCTCAATAATTTTTGTAACTATTCCTATATGATACAGTTCATCCCGCTATCAGCGATGCAATTGATGAAGATGGAAGCGGATATATTTCTGTCCACGAAATAAATGTTTTCTTGAAGCAAAAACCCACCGGATGGACCTTATCAACATGGCTTTTGTTGTAAGTTTCAGCCTATGTGATTCTCAGATCTACTGTGATCCATCAAAATTCTCTTCTAGTTGGGCTATTGGATGGCAGGGTACAATACTCAAGTGAGAAAACTGTCAAACTGATTTGTGTTTCATTTATATCAGGACATTATTTTAGCTCCTCCGAAAGGATCGACAAAATCATAGGCCGGCTGTTCACAGTGTGCCAAGAGGCAAAGTTCAAATCCGACAATATCAAGCTGAAAGCAAAGATAGACAAATATGTCCTCTCCCTGGAACTCATTTCCAAGCTTACCAGCTGGTATTCTGTTACTGGTTTTCAGGGCAATTTTATCCTGGATGTGATGCAGGTTCAAGTTTATGATAAACTCATGCCACTTGCTCTAGAGTACGAAAAGTTGCATAAAACACTAGCCAAGCAACTCCTAAACCAAGGTGGCATCCTTTTGGAGATATCGGACACTATGCCTCTCAAAAAGCAATTCGGGAACCGCATTGAATCAGTGAGTGATAGTATAAAAGTCTGCAGTAATACAATCAAATGTAGTGAATGACTTGTCAGTGGCTTTTGCCTTTCCTGGAAAATATCCTTGCCCAGCAATTGGATGCCGTAGCCAAGAAACATTTGCTTGATAACGGAGATGACCAGGACAACAATGGTCAAGAGGATTCCACTGTTGGCCAAATCCAATTATGGGATGAACCAACTGTTGTCCAAGTTGAAGACAAAATGTCGGACAAATCTGTTACTTTTGAACAATGGGTGGACATGGATTGGACTCTGGAAATTCTTTTATATGAGTTCCACCTACGCATGCAATCCTTACTTCAAGGATGGAAGAGGCAAAAGGTAGATCATCAAATAATGGTCAACAGCTTTTCTAGTGGAGTGTTTTCTGGCTGGCATACAGCGGTGTGTAACTGCAATCTCAGTCTGAGTATTGATACTGAATATATTCTCAAACAGTGTTTGAACAAGAGTGATCAAGAATTCCAGCATGCCATCAAATTGTTGGAAAATATTTACAATAATGACTCGGAAACTGAAACTAAGGATGATGATGAAGCACAAGATAAAAATGCAGCACTACAAAGCACAGTGGATGTTCTGAGTGTTTCAGTTGCCAATCTTAATGATTCTATGAATGAACTGAAGGGAATGATTGCTGGCCAAAAAGAGCTTTTGCTGAATGCCAATCACAGGACTACTTCTCCTTTTGTGGTGAGCAATCCTAATGTTGTTTTACTACCATGATTCAGTATACTTAGTTCTAATAACAGCCACAATCAAATGTTCAAATATCTGCTCCTGAACCACCTGCTGGCTTTTCTCCTTGGTCTCGGCCTACTTCTTTTCCCGCTGTGCAACAGCCTGCTGGCTATAATCCTCCACAACAGCAGTCAACTGGTTACTTCCCCACTGGGCAACAGCCTGTTGGCTACAATCCTCCACAGCAACAGTCAGCTGGTTACTTCCCTTTGCAGCAGCAGCCTGCTGCTTATCCTCCCCAACAGCAACCCACTGCTTATCCTCCACAGCAGCAGTATACTGGTTTCCCTTTACAACAACAACCTCCTTATTTTCCTCCTCAGCGGTCTGCAGCCTATTTTCCCCAGCAGCAACCTTATGGATATCCTCCTCAGCCTACCTATCCTACATTTCCTTCTCAGCAACAGCCTGCACCCTACTTTCCTCCGCAGCAGCCTTATGGATATCCTCCTCAGCATCAGCCTACCTATCCTACCCTTCCTCCTCAGCAACAGCCCGCACCTTACTTTCCTCCGCAGCAGCCTACTGTCTATACTTCTCAACCACAGCCTCCTGCCTATTTTCCTCAGCAACCTCAGCAATATACTAGCTACTCCATGCAGCAGCCTACTAGCTATTCTTATCAGCAGCCCAGTGGATATTCTCATCAGTATTCTACTGCTTATCCTTCTCAACAGCGGCAGGCCGCTGCCTATCCTCCGCCTCCCCCGCAATTCACTGTCTATCCCCCGGCTCCTCAGCCACAGTTTACTACCTATCCTCCGCCTCAGCCACAATCCACTGCATATCCTGGGACTCAGCCCCCACCTCAGCAA